TAGGCATTACAAAAAGTGTTCTCAGAAGTTCGTTTCTAACTTAAACTTGCCTTTGATGTATCTCAAAAAAAAAAAAAGGCCTATTTTTCTTTTCTACATAGGAGAAACTATTGCTATTTTTTTCACGGGATTTCTGTCCTTTGCTCTGATGCCATTTATTCCCAGGATGGGGTTTTATCACAAACTTTTAAACCTTTAAAAGGGGAGGATTGGGGGGGATTATAATCGAAAGCCAAAGCAAATATTAAAGATGCAAAAATAGTGTTGCTTGATATAAATCATCCCTTGACTCTCAAATCATTTTAGTGGGACAAACTATCCCAAACTAAGCAGCATGTTATAAAACCAATGACATGAAATGCTGATATAAACCCCCAAACATGTGAGGTTTTGCTGCCAGAGTAACCCAGACACATTTGCTAAGTTTAATTATACTGGTTTCACTCATTCCCTGCACGTAAGTGCTTTGGGAGTACAATTCCACTGAAGCCAAGGGAAGGCTTTGTATTGACTTCTGAGGTTTTGGCTTGGGCTCTTAGTGAACAGCTCCAGGTCATACAACTTGCTGCCAAAAATGCAGCTGGCTGCACATCCAGCAGATATTTGCAGAGAAGGGGAGAAGCAAAGGGAAACTATTTTCTGGGATATGATCATCCCCATAGCAATGCAGCTCTGGGAAAGACACTTTTGCTGATAATCCAGTTCAAACCCAAAGAGGCACAGTCTGAGCTGGATTCCCCAGCACGGAGACAGGGCATGGTCAGGCCAACGGTGTGCTGAGACATAGAGTTATGACCTTCTGGAGCTGCAGAGTGCCACGGAGAAAAGAGGAGGTGTTGGGGCACTCAGAGTTGTTGGGGTGCTCAGGTACCCTGAAAACCAGGGCAGGAATTTTGGTGGCTGCCTGTGGGATCAGGCTGAGGGCAGATAATATTTACAGTGTCTGTTACAAAGGGAAGTGAATGGAAACGTTTAGACACTTGTGTTCTAACCAACCCTTTTGAAGAGGAGCCTCAGAGAACCTGAGTCCACAGGTGCTGTTGGGCACTGGTGGCTCGTGCTGTGCCAGTGACACAGCTGCCCTGGCCAGAGGGCAGTGAGCCTTGCCTAGGGCCTGCAAGCTCCTGGGGACTGCCTTCAGGGCTGACATCCCACCCAGGCTGCCCTCAGCAGCGAGAAGGGTGAGCACACATTTCTGGGCAGGCCAGGTCCTGGAGCTGAGCAGCAGCACCAGGGCAGGAGCTCAGGATTGAGGTTGGGTGGGATGGGTTATGCAGAGGAGAAGCAGCATAAGAGCTAGACTTCATCCTAGCCTTTCCCTCAAACACTGACTTAACAGTTGTACCATATTCCAATAGTCTAAAGACAACACATACCTGTAGCAGCAAAAGTAGCTGAACTGTAACAACACATCACCCTAACCACAATGCTCTATGTCATTTTTCCCATGGCATGTTTTTAGCCTGGATCAGATTAGGCTGATCAACATATCTACCTACTTCAGCAAAACGTACTGCATCACTTGCTGTGGAAGCTCTTCTGGAGCGAGAGTTCCTTAGGCTTCATGGAAACGACCTTCAGGGGAACAGCTGGATCAGCTCCCCCAGTGTTCACGGGAGTGCTTTACTTCACACAGCTCTTCCCGGTGTGAACTGGCACGGCCCACCTACAGCTGGGGAGGCTACTCACAGCACCTGTCACTTCCTCACCTGGTGGAGCTCAGCACTGAGCTCCAGTGACACGTGGCAGGGGCAGTGCCACAGGGAGCATCACAGGGCAGCATAGCCCCAAGGGCTGTGGGGATGGCAGACAGGACATGCACTGTCTGAATGCAAACACAACTTACAAACATCATTTGCTTTGGCAGCTTCCAGCTGCCTTGCATGTTCCAGACAACAAAGAGCTTAACAACCTCTTGGATGTCATGTGGTCCAGCACATGCTCAGTTACTGGGAGAAATGCCTCTCATTGGAATTAGGAGTACAGATAGACTTGCTCCAGAGAGACTTCTGGAGAAATCTGACAGAACAAAGATTTGGTTCCCCAGAATGAGCAATTAGTTGTCCTTGTACAGCAGAGCAAATGTTACTTGCAGACCTTCTGCTCCGAGACTGGAACTGAGAGCATGATTAAAAAAATACATCCAGTCCTGATTTAAAACACAAGCCAAAGCTACGTGACAGAATCTATAAATCTACAGAAACGCCAGCAGACAATCTTGTGCAGCCCCAGACACACAAATCCCAACACCCAACCAACCCCCACACGCTCCTCCTGGGTGACAGAAGTGGGTGCAGGAGACAGGTAGAGCCAAACATTTCAGTGTGTGCTTCCTGTAGCAAATCAATCGATAAAGCCAATAACATGGCAAAAAGAGCAGGATGGGAGCAAAGGCAAAGGGCTGGGGATACCCCCAGGCAGCTGGGGCTTCACTCTGCTCTGCAAGTCTCTTACCGGGATGCCTAGAGCTTTGAGGATATTCATCTTACACATGGGGCAGGTGCGGTGGTCCAGCAGCCAGGGGTCCACGCACGACTTGTGGAAGAGATGCCTGCAATGAGAACCAGATGTTTGAGTTCAAATGCACCACAGCACAACTAACTCTGTCACACAATAAGGTGCACCCTCAGCTGGAGGGAAGATACTGAGGAGCACTTTCACCGATGCTGATTTGCACCCCAAGCTTCTCCCACATTCCAACTGTTTAGCTTCCCAGCTGACCTCAGTCCTAGGTAACACTAGAAATTCAAAGCCAAAACTGAGACCTCAGAATCTTATTCCTTTCACTGCAATGTTTGTTTCCTCACTGCTTCTAGAAGAAATGAGTCCTTTGTGCAGCAAAGGTAGATGGCACATATCACATTCCTGTGCTTGGTATGGCTTCACACAACCATGGGAAAGGGCAAATCTGTTCTTCGAAGTTCAGCCTAGTCTAATTATATCAGTTGGCTACAATACCAAACTTTGCCTGACCTCATCTGTCCCTGGATGTCAACATGATCAATGCAAATGAAGCATCGTGATAGCTGAAGTCTAAACCACAAATTTCCTAGGGCTCCTGAGCTGTCCTTCCCAACAGGACCTGACTCCATGGGTAACAGCACAAAGCACTAGATGTTGGGCTCTGTCCTGCACAACTCCTCCCTTTACCTCAGCAGGGACATGCTCAGCACATCACCTGACAGACACTCAGAACAGAGAAGAGCATGAAGACGGTTCTGAGGCACATGTCATTTTACGTTTACAAGTCTAACCAACAGAATTTTTGGGTGTGTTGATGCATGGAGGGCACTGAAAGTCAATCTCTTGCCTTTCAGCTGTTTGAAAGAACGAGGAAATTCTCGATAGCAATTGGTTTTCATTAATTATACAACCAAATTCATAAACAAATATGCTTATTGGCAAACATCTGAAGCATGTTTCTGCCAAAGCAATCAGCACTCAAATCTGAGATAGTTATTATTCTCCCAGAAAAAAGCCCCAGATTTCCAAGATCAGTTTCGGACAGAAAATACATAACTTCCACCAAGACATTTTACCACAGACTAGAGAATCCCTTTTGTTTTGAGCCTCCAGCTCTGAAGTCTCAGTCAGGTTGGGTTCACATTACAGCACTTCATGATGTTTGCTCATCACCAGAACCCTGGAACTTGTATGCCCTCAAAGACCTGAAGAACTGTAGTTCAGTGTTCCTGGAGTTGGCTTCAAAAACAGCCTTCTAAAATCAGCCCTAACAATGCCAAGTCATTCAAGTCCATGACAGATCGTGTCACTCTGCACTTCGCAATATCACTCAGCACAGGGGATTAACTGCAGGTTTAACATGTACAACTGGAGGAACTTGATTATATGACAGAACTCCACAGAAAAACGTTATTGAAAACCAGAGAAACATTTGACTTGTCAGATTTCTGTACCGCATTATACAATTAAAAGCTCACAATGTCTATTTTGGAACACAAAAACAGGTGTGCAGAGAAAAAAGGTGTCAGGGTCTGCAGATTTGGGCTTGAAAGTGTCTTTTCTTCGTTGTTAGCTAGAGCTCTGCATCCATGCCTATGGCTTTCAGGGAACTGTCAACTGTTTGATGTCCTGGTAAGTTTATAATCCAAATCCAGGCAAAATAAGGGGCAGCACATGGCAAAATGAGAGGTTTCGCAGGGAAGGAGAGGACAGAGGCAGTGCAGATGGTGTCAGCAGCAATGGCCACACAGGGAGACAGTGAGAGGTATTTCAAGCACAGCCTTGGGACATAGCTTTGACAATCACAGCTAGAAAAAAACACAGGTTTTTCCCTGTCGTGTGTAACCACATCCACTGCAGAACTGTGTTGATTTGGATGGTTGAAAACTTTCTCAGAAGAACCGTAATTGATCAGTTGAGATGTTGTAACAACCTCCTACAGAAAAGCTTTCATAAGGGCAAAGGAAACCACTGTTCACCTCTCCTAGGGATAAGAGGCACAATGATGTGTTTAACTGCAGCAAGTGAGATCCAGGTAACACAAGAAAGGCTTCACCACAGCCAGGGGAATGAGGCACTGCAATAAATTATCAGGGGAATTTGCAGAGTTTTCACCCCAGGAGACTGCAGAGTGTGTTGGAAAAAGCTCCCCAGAAGAACCTGTGCCTGGCAGTGCCCTGTGCTGCTCCAGAGGTGGTCTCCAGGTCCCTCCCAGGGTCCCTCCTGCTCTCTCCTGGAGCTGCATGTGGCTGTGCAAATCTCAGAGCACAATGAAAGAGAACCAAGAGTATTCCATTCACTACTGTCTAAATAGCACTGCATGACTTTTTAGCTGGAGATTACCTTTGTTTGAAATGTATTTACATTTCCTTTAAAGTTGCAATTTTCATCCTGCAAGAAAGAAATACTTCACATTGAGCTCAGCCCAGAATTACAATAACAATGATTGCAGTGCAACTATTGCAAAGCTTTCAGCCTGCCAACAATTCTGAGCAGCCTTTTTCCAGGTTAAGGAAAACTGTTCTCCTCCCACCCTCTACTACTTGTCTCACCTATGCAGAAGGAGAGGTACAGCCCTAGGGCCCTTGGACAAGAGCATCAGTTGCCTGGACTGGACACAGAGCTGAAGAGAGGCTTGAGAACAGCTTTGATGAGAGACTGAGCAGCACTGCAGCATCCAAAGAGGTGGTCTGAGCTTTTAGGGGTGTGTGTAGGGTATTATTTGTTTACTTCTGAGGAAGAAGGAAGGACAAAAGAACGTGATGACGAGGGTGAGAGGAAGGAAACAAGGGGAAGAATGTGTGCAATGGACTAATTTTCACAGAAAGCAGGAGCAAAGCAACCTCTGGAATCACAGTTGTCCGTGGAGTGAAGGTCCAGGAGAAGAGAACAAGCTGCAAAGGGGTCAGAGAGTGTGTTTACTGGTGACAGAAATGAAACTGCCAAAAAAAGCCTTATGAGGAACTCAGCAGAGATAAGGCTGAAAGGAATGTCTTCCCTCTCTGTGGAAGTTCAGTGAAGTCAGTACAAGTTGAGTAAAGGCACACACTGGGAGCAGCAGCACCAGTGGCATCTCCAGAGCTGGAGCAGGAAAGACAACAGTGTCTCGAGGCTGGAGAGGGAGGATAAGCAGAATGAACTAGGGCTATGACAAGAGACTCTGGAACAATGACCTTGGTTACATCTGACGTGGTGTCAGTGCCCTCAAAGACAACTTCAGTGATGTTTACTGCCATTAAACATAAAACCAGCTGCAAGTCAACACTTCTTTTTAACCAAGTGTCACTCCTTATTTATTTAGACATTCTGTAGGGTGGGAACTGCCTCGAGAGCACACAGAGGAAGAAGCAGAAGTTCACTGGAATTCTCTTGGAGCTCTCCAGAGCAGGGTACACAACCACAGGCTACCCTAGTGTCAGCAGAAAAGAGAAGACATTTGGGAAACAGCCTAAGTCCCAGGAAACATATATACTTGACTTTGGAGCTCACCCACTGCAGCACTGTCTGGTGGACTTTTGGTACCAATTTCTTAGAAGATTCAGTCTTAAAAACTAACCTCAGGACCTACAGGACTTCATACAGAGTGTGCCTGGTTTCCCCAGTGCCACCTGCAGTGCAGGGCAGCACCTTCCATGTGCAGCTCTTGGGGTGTTATTTGGCTTTGTGGATAAAACGTTGTGTTTCAAGCACCTCCCAAATGGATACACGAAGGTTAGCCAGCACTGTCACCTGGTGCTGCTCTCTGCAAGGCCTGGTGACACACCAGCAGCCCAACGAGGTTCCCATGTCAGACACTGCACCTGCACGAGGTTTAACTGAGGATGCTGGAGGAAGAAAAGTACAGAGCCTATAGGTCTTTATCAAATATAACACTCTCCTACTCACTTCACAGAGACAGGAATTAATCCACTTTTGTGTCTTTGGATGAGGAGATGAGACTGACAAGAACAGAGAGAGCCACGACTACCATTCTGTTTCAGAAGTTCAAACCCTTGGCAATGTGTAGAACATTGCCCTCCCCTTTTGCACACAGGAGAGCCAGGCTTGGTGCAATAGCTGCTTGGGAAACATTTTTGAGCCTTTCTAATTCCAAACTGCTGAGGCTCAAACTGTGAGGATTTTACCAGACAGTTCTGCTGCTGCTACCCTTTGAGCATGAGTCATTTTCTAGGCGACCTTTAAGTCAGCCAAGAACTGGATCCCACCTGTTAACTCTGTGTTTCCTATTCCCTCTGTTTGACTCAGCTCTGCGCATGACAAAGTCTCATTGAATTATGAGGTGAGACCCAAGCGAAAGCTAAAGCTCAGGCATATTTTAAGCTGCTATATAACCACCTGCAAACACTGCCTGTCTCTACCATGCAGAACTGCCAAGCTTTATTCTGCTTCTATGCAAACAGGTTTGATGTCAAAACAAGGTCCAGAGTTTCAGGTAATTCCTCATTTTTCTCTATTTCTGCTTCACAAAAGGATGAGTTTGTGTCTGTAGAAAAAAAAAAGGGAGTTCACAAGCAGTTTGCCCTTGTGGGGAGATTTACAGCAGGTCAAACGTCTGATTAATCTGTTGCTTTTTGCTTGCCATTTAGTGATGGCAGCACACAGATGTAATGAGTGGCAAAATGAACAGAAATGGACAGCTCATAACACTCAAACATCTGCTAGGGAACAGCACAGCAGGAAAACAAAAAGCATTTTGGTTTCTCAGGCAGGAGAAGAAAGAAGCCCCATTAAAACCCCCAAAATCTCTGCTCTGTATCTTTAGGGGAATCCAACACGAGCTGTTGCTCTCCTAGGAATGCCACGGGGCACTCAGTTCCCTGGGGCAGTCCTTCCTGAGCCAGCACTCCAGAGTGGGTGATGGGGATGGAGCTGAGCAGAGCTGTGGGCAGGAATCAGCCCAAAGGCTCTGCTTCCCACCTGCTTTGCTGCTCCTATTCAGCACACCACTTTCTGGGGATGGTTTTTTTGCCAGATGTTATCCCTTTCTCCGTGCCAGGACGTGGCCCAGGGCAGCGCAAGCAGCAGCTCCTCGTGGAGCAGAACTCTGCTCTCTCCCTTGCTGCTGTGGCCAGGGCTCATCTTGAAGTCAGAGGCAAATTCTCTAAGGCATTGTGCTGGTTTGAGCTGAAGTAGAATTAGCTTTCTTCACAGAGGTTAGTATGGGGCTATGTTTGGGTTTTGTGCAGAACACAGAGTTGATAATGCAGAGATGTTTTTGTTACTGCTGAGCAGAGCTTACACAGAGCCAAGGCCTTTGCTGCTTTCCGTACTGCCACACTGGCAAGGAAGTTGGGGGTGCATGGGAGATTGGGAGGCGACACTGCTGGGACAGGTGATCCAAACTGACCAAAGGGATATTCCATACCATAGGACATCATGCTCAGTGTATAAGGTGGGAGGAAGAATGAGGAAGCGGGGACATCTGGAGTGATGGCATTTGTCTTCCCAAGGAACTGTTACGCTTCCGTACTGCCACACTGGCAAGGAAGTTGGGGGTGCATGGGAGATTGGGAGGCGACACTGCTGGGACAGGTGATCCAAACTGACCAAAGGGATATTCCATACCATAGGACATCATGCTCAGTGTATAAGGTGGGAGGAAGAATGAGGAAGCGGGGACATCTGGAGTGATGGCATTTGTCTTCCCAAGGAACTGTTACGCGTGATGGGCTGTCTTCGAAGATGGCTAAACACCTCCTGTCTTCGGGAAGCAGTGAATTAATTCCTTGTTCTGCTATGCTTGTGTGTGCAGCTTTTGCTTTCTCTATTATATTGTCTTTACCTCAACCCATGAGTTTTTGTAGCTTTTACCCTTCTAATTCGCTCCCCCATCCCGTTGGTGGGGGAGTGTGCGAGCGGCTGCATGGTTCTTGCCTGCTGGCTGGGATTAAACCACGACAGGCATTTATACCGAGCTGATAAAAAAAAACAGGGAGGAAAGCAGAGGAACCAAAGCCTTTAGAGCATAAATCCTACTTTAGATTTTGTAATAACTGGACAGAAGAAATTTCTGACTATCATACTAAACCCTCAGAGTGTTCATTAACTACTAGGTTCACTTCACACTGATTAAAAGATGCATTTCAGATATCTTTACCAACAGATTTTTAATAGATCAAAACAATAAACACACCCTTCCCCCCAAGCTCTCAGGTCATCTCATCAGTGTGAAACTCTGAGAACAGCGACTGGCTTGAAGGAGAGAGATTATTAAAGCACCTTCAACTTACCTGCAAGGCAATATCCTGACAACATCATTGGGTTTGTAGCCTTCAATACAAACTGCACAGTTATCAAAGTCTGGCTCAGTTTCCTGCAGGAAAGAGAACATTCATCATTTCTATTTTTTCATTTTGTCAGCTAATCTCTCCGTACAAGAGCCTAAGTGACAGAGTGAAACAGCCACGGAGCAGACTGCAAATCCACTAATGCATTTCAAGCCCAGCAAGTCACACTTTCCAACATGTTTCCAGCTGGAAACTGCCCTGGGAAGCATGCAGATTTAATTAGCATGTTTTAGCTCTCAGGACTTCATACATCTCTGCAGAATCACCTCTCCCTCCATTCCATCTGCAACTTGCTCCCCAGCATTCCTCCTCTGCCTGAAGGACACAGCAGCTGAACAAGCAACTGCAGTTCCTGCTCTGCCTCCTTGTCCCAGAGGTCTGAAGGAATCCTCAGCCCAGAGTTTCATTTGGTAATGAGCAATTTGACAAATTACCTTGTCACCTTTCCTGATGGTTCTGACCTGCAGCTTGCTGATTGCTTTCTTTGCAGCATCTCCCAGCCGGCGCTGTAAGACAAAATTTCCTCTTAGGCAAAGAGTATCTCTATGCAGAAATCATCATTTAATCTCCCTAGGCATCTTCATAATCTGAAGAGAGCGTACACGGGGAAGGACAGTGCATAAATGGGAACAGATGAGGTCAGTCACACTGTTGCTCAGGATAAGGACACAGTAGGTGTTGTAGCTTTGCTGGTAACTCAGGGCCAACCAGCAAAGCTGCTCTGATGGAGATCCAGGGGCAACTGGGTGTGAGCCCATCCTGGCACTGCACCACCCCAGTGAGCAGCAATGTAGGCAACAAGTCCATTACTTGGGTATTCCACTTCTTCCCTCTCTTTTTGTAATGGCTCTTGTAAAAAGCCACACTGGGCAGTTAGCAGAGTAAACACTGAACTTTAGTCTCACCTTGTGTTCATGATCATCAACAAGAAGTAAGTGCTGAAAGTGAACTGTCAATTTGTTAACCACAAAAAGGGAATAATCTCTCCTGTTCTCTGTTCCTGCAATACAGACTTGCCTACTTTACAGAAGCAATGCAAGGTCTAGAAACGAGGTGAAAGCATCTGCAGTTTCTCACAGGTAAAGCACTATATAATCCTGCAGCAACATTCTATCTATACATAACCATCCCCTTCTTTGCCTTTCTACCGTTTCCTCCAGTGGACCATGAATTGCTCCCCACGTGGTGTTTCTGAGTGCTCTCCCCTGTTTCCAAGCAGTCAGTGCTGGCAGGGTCCCAGCCCCTCAGGAGGAGTGTGTAAGGGCAGCCTGAGGCAGAATGCTGCTCTCAGCCCTGCCCACAGACACTGGGGCAGTTCAGACAGTCCCTGCAGTTCCCTCTCACCCTGTGCCATGGTGCTCACTTGTGCTCACCCAGCACAGGCGATGTGGAGACACTCACAGGCAGGAAAGGCATTGGAGAGCTCATAACTCCCATTCCCTGCTCAAGGCTGGGTCAGCTTCAAAGCTCTGAAGCTGTGTCCAGTCAAGTTTCGAGATTTCACAACCTCTGTGGATAATCTGTTCCAGTGCTTAACCAATCTTCGTCTTTTTTCCTTTCTAAACATACAACTGGAATTTCCCTTGCTGTGATTTGTACCCTGTGCACCTCCAAGGAGAGGTGACTGACTCCTCTCCGACCACCTGTTCCGCAGCTGGAGGCAGAACTCTTCCTCCTCCTCTGCTCCCCTCCCAGCTCAGTGAGCCAAGCCCCCTCACCTCTCCTCAGGTGCCACATGCTCCTGTCCCCAGGTGACCCTCCTCTGGGCACTCTATTACTTTCATGCCTCTCACCCAGTTTCTTGCAGCAAAACCTACTCCAACGTCTCTTTATCAGCTTTAGAACAGTGAACCCCAATCTGACACCAATAAATGACTTGAACCCTTCCCTTCACCTCCTCTCCCCATCCATGTTTCCAGCCAAGTGCCGTTGGATAGGAGAGCCCTGGAGCCTCTGGTGACTCAGGACGTTCAACGTTCCGGGCTGGGAGCGCTGCCTGTGGTCAGAGGGGCTGTCAGGGAAGGGTTTCCAGCTGGAGGGGGAGAGCATCCAGCCAGAAATAGAAGGAAGCAGGAGGGAGTTTGCAAACCGAGACCTAATCACCACACAGATATGATTAATAAATTACCACTCTGTTCTTCAGAGTCAATTAAAATCACTGAGTTGAGTAAGCTCATTGTGTTGGACAGACGTGGAAGGCTGACAAAACACTGTGAGCAGGGAGCAACTCCAGATCTGGCTGAGGAGGTGGAAACAGTCCTGGCTATCACACGAGATTTACATAGGAGCTTTCCAGCATAGCTAATTGTGGCACGTGAGGGAGTGTCTTGTAATTATACAACATGTCTTTCTGTGGTCCATTTTTTTCTCTCAGTCTCCCTTAAATAAAGAGATCAGATGAGATCTGGAAACATTTCTTGCCAGCTCTTTGGTATGTAAATCAAAGACAGGCTGATAACATGCAGCAAGACAAGTGCCATTATGTCCTGATTCAGAAATTGCTTGTCGTTCCTTTTTATCTTTATTATTACTTAAACTAATGAAATGTCTCTATTCTCTTTTTGTGCACATTCTTGAGGGGAAAAGGACAAGATTAAAACCTCATGTACATATTTAATCTTCTTGTTTTGATGTTTGCTTTCTCTGATCTATCACAAACAGACAGGACCATGGCTCACACACAACAAGAGTAGTTTAGTTTTTGAAGGAACAGGAGTATCTTGGACTAAGGTCACACTTCCAAAGGGTTCTCCCTTTTGGATGCAAGGCATGCTACCAATAACCAATGATTTCCTCTAGAAGATAAGAGGCATTACAAGAGTTCAAGGGTTTAAAGTAAGTTAGAGATTCATAATCATAAATCTCATAACCTCATTATCAACATTCAGCACTGGACTGGAAGGAGTCAAGCACATCAGACACGGTGCTCTGATGGTTGGTGAAAAAGAAAGGACAGTGGCATGGAAAGCATCACTTTCGTGTTCCTGAGGAACTCAATGACTGTAGATGCTGCAGAAAAGAAATTACAGTTAAGTGCTTCTCTCTTAATGGCCTTACTAAACTGTCACCTTGCAGGAGGAGACCACCTTGTACCTTGTGCAGAATGAACCACATCATCAGGATGAGGTGTCAGACACATCTCTGCACACAAAGTTTGCAGACTCCATCGTGGGAAGCATCTTCCCCAAACTGCTCCAAAGACTGATGCCTCTGTTCAGTAGCCCAAACCCCCACCCAAAGCCACAGCCAGTAGCCCTCCCGCTCCGAGGACTGCTCCACACAGTCACCCACTGAGGGTCAACCCAGGATGCACAGGACCCTCCTCAGCCCCAGTGCAACCACTGCCTGCTTTGGCTGTCACTGTCCTGTGAAACACTTGGAGACCCCTAAGTGCCAGAGTTACTCTGCAGAAAATGTCCTCTTAACAAGCCAAGGGAAACAACAGGCATGGAAGAAATACGGTAAACAATCTGGCACTGAAACATCATCTCCTCATCATCTTCCCATCGTACTGTCAACATAAAGAGAGGTCTGCTATCAGTGATGGAACATGAAATCTGACACACTGACAGGGTTGGGTTTGTGGTTGCTCTGTCTGTGTCCTCACTGTCTCAGGGCTGTGATAGCAAGTCACATTTTGCTGAATTATCTCTGGGACTTGACTTGTCATGTAATTCCAAACTGCTTCTCATCAGCTCTGCAATATGATGTTTCTTGATGCAAACAATTTCAACAGTCTTTTCCAAACTCTTATTTCAGGAGGGCTCCAGGAACGAGCTGCTGAGGAGACACACTGCGTTTCTTACACAGATTTATCCTCTTCATATCAAACAGATGTATCATCAGGGCAAACTCCTACTTCCTGGATATCCTGTTAGGTGGGAAGAAATGTTCATCTGTGTGAATATTACTACCCATCTTCTACTTCCATATATACTGTAGTGACCTGTGCCAGAGGAAGCTCTAAAAATTAGATGCATTAAAATAAAAATGGGTATCTAATTGTATTTGCAGTGACTCCCTGGCTGCAGGTGCCAAGCCATTCATGGAAGATGGTTTTGTGCTCCACTAATTCCCAGCCAAGTTGGGACAAATCAGCCAGGGCACTCAGTGAGAATCCTTGAAGCCCTGACACTTCACTCATCACAATCAGGCACTTCACTGGAGTAAGCTATGTCTTCTTTCTGGCATCTGGACCTGGGTTTGGCACATGTGGTGAGAAGACTGGTGGCTGAAGGTCTAGATGCACCATGTCCAGGTTCCATCTCACTGCAGAGTCATGGGAAGGATTTCAGGAGATTTTTCAGTCTAACTGCATTCATTGCTTTCTTGATGGAGAGCAGAGTTCCTTCTGGATTTACTGCTTGCTCAGAACTTATGCTGCGTGCAGGAAGGGAAATGGACCTGAAAAGGAGGGTCAGTGTATAAAAGAGGACTAGACAAAGGTGCCTACAAGGCTTGACAAGGGAACACACAATGATTTCCATGAAAGGAAGACACAGCTGTGATGGGACAGCTTGGAAGAGGCAAACTGGAAGATGACTTGGGGAGACGCAGAGTGACCAGGGAAAGATGTTCTGAAGTCCTGTATCCACATCCCATCCTTTTGCTACAAGAAAATATGCCAAAGAAAGAAATCAAAGCAGAACTTTATGGAAAAAAGAGAGGAACCTCATGGAAAGGGCAAGAGCAAGATGAGCCCTTCTAAAGTACCTACACCGTTATATTCCACAGCCAGGACTGTATACTGCTACCATTCTTCATATGAAAAGAGCTAATAAAGAGCTTAGAAGAGACAATGCAGTGTGAATAAAGTGCATAAGACATTCTAGTTTTCCTCATATTATTGTACATTTTTGGCCAAAAAATGAATAGTGTGCCATTTCTTAGGAGGCATGTTCTCATTCTGCTGGAGAACAGAACTAGTAAGGACCAAGTTACCAAAACCTCCCCACAGGACAACTGCTTTTGCACACAGCAGTCTCCCTCAAACCCTGGAAAGAGAACACTGCACAGGACATAAACCTCTCAATTCCAAACGACAGCACATTACCTGACTGAGCTTCTTGTTCTGCCATGTTTGGTGTTTATGTCTGTCTGTAGACACTGCTAATCTGCCTGTGCAATTGCTTGACCAGAGCACACGTTCCCACACACCAAACCACACGTGTGTGTCTGCAGAGAGCTGGAAACAGCACAGCCCTCCCAGCCACAGCCAACCTGCTGCCAAGGATGTTCACATTCCAGCTGGGATACTCTCGTTCTTGCTATCCAAAATTTCAGGCTGTGTATTTCAGAGGAAAATATATTCTGTCTGTCTGTAAATACAGAGCAGCTGCTCTCTGTCTCAGAGGATGCCTGAATTCCAATGGACCAGGGCAAGGATTCCTGTACTTCAAGTATATGTTACAGTGTGTGGCAAGTACTTCTCTCTGCAAGATCATTACTAACACTCTGTTTTACCTTTTCTGCAGAATAAGCAAGGCAACCCTCCCTGCCCCAGCAGTAATTTATTGAGGGTCCAGCAGCCTCTCTGAATTACAGTGCATTTTCCCCTGCAGTAAAACAGTTCTCTCAGATTTCATACACTGATAACATTTTCTGCTGCACCATTAGAATGAAATGTAGAAGCTCTCAGCTTCCCAGTTCTGCTGATGCTGAGACAGTTGCATCCAGACAAGAAAAAATGAAATTTATTATCATCATTGCTATTATTATTCGCTGCTGAACTACCACAGACACGGACAGTGCTCCGTAAATCCAGAGGCACTCAGGGCTCATTCCCACTGCTGCTGACTCCTCTCTGGCTCTATGGGCTTTGTGTCTCTTCCAAGGGCTTTGGACACAGATGCCAAGACCAACAGCACTGGTTTAATAACATTGGTGGCTATCACTACAGCACTTGTGTGTTCAGTGGTCGTTGCCAAACAAAGAGAGACACGTTTGCCTTCTAAGCCCAAGACCTTTCTAACGCAGCACTGAAATGAAAACACATTCTGTTCTGTCTTTCAGCACTTCTCGTGAACCTCTTTCACATCATCTCACTGTATTCCAGGCATCATTGTGATCTCAGAGGTCCTTAGTTGTACCATTGCTCGCTCACTTGGCTATATGTACCCAAACAATCTTTTCACAAATAAATACCCTCAACTTTCTATTTCTTGTGTGTTTTGCATGGCAAGAAAACTCACAAAATACACAGATTACTAATTACTTTTCTTCCTGAATCCCATCCACACTGACAAGAGTCTTGGCTTTCCCCAGACAGACATTTTGATATTCCTATTCTTTCCACTTCCTTGGGTTTTGTTTCAGTTTGTGTGTTTTTACCAGGCACTCACAACTTCCTAAACTCTTCCTTCCCAGCTGAGCCCCATGGGGATGCCCTGGTAACACAGAGGTCACTCCAGCCCTGCTCACCTGATTTCTGTCCCTGGCATTGGCGTAGCGGAACCGCTGGATGTAGTAGAAGACCAGCCAGGCCAGCGAGATGATCATCAGCACGATGAAGGAGATGGAGACGAACACCACGGAGGTCCTGCTGACATATTTCTGCAGGTTGCGCGTCCCGATGGTGATGTACATCATCACAGTGATGT